AGCCCCCGCCGCCTGACCCCACTCCTCCCCCGGCTGCCCCCTTCAAAGGGAGCCGTGGAGTCCCAACTGCAACCCAGACATGAACTCCAACCTAAAAATAATTTCAGACCACCCTTTTCCTCCGAACGTGTCTGGGGAAGGCATCTCGGGGTCCCTTTCCCGATACCCTCCTTGATCTTTGGAGACTGTACCCGGGCAGAAAGAACATTTATCAGGAAGTTGGCTTAGGAATGTTTGGTCCATCCAATTCCAGCCCAGGAACTGCCATTTTCCAGAACAGAAAGCACTACCAGAGCTTTTAAAGCATTCGTTTGCACACTTGCTAGGATGCCTGGCCGGTTCTAAAACCTCATTTCACCCTTGCTACCCTCCCAGGAGATGGGCCCACGATGACAGCCATTGGGGAGGCTCATCCAAGATCACACAGCGAGGGAGGGTCAGAGCCAACATCTGAACCCAGGTCTGACTCAGGAGGCCATGTGCTTGTCACTGGGCCAACCCACCAACACACCGAAAGAATTTCCCTTTACCCAGCAACTTTTCGAGAGAAAGAGCTGACACAGTCCCAGTGGTCTTCAGCAAGGTCACTTGGGGAGTTTGAGAAAACAGCAAATTCCTGGGCCTGGGCCTGGCCCGGGCCCCAGAAACGTCGATTCCGCCTGGCTCCAGCAGGGCCCGGAAACATGCATTTTAACCAACACCTCCCAGGTGGTGCTGAGGCAGGTGGGCTGAGGAAAGCTGGCCAGGAGGCTCTCAGAGAAAGGGGCGCAGGACTTTGGCACCAGGGGTCCTGGGCTCTCGGACCAGGACACTCTTCCTAGCACCAGCGGATCCTGACATGCCTTATGAATTAAAAATGCCCACAGGGAGCTGGAGGCCCTCTCGCTAATTCTTTGGAAACTAGTCATGACATGTGATCGTATCTAGTACATTTCTTGACTGTTCTCTTGATCACTCACCAATCCTCTACATAAGCCAGAGTTTCCTGTTTTCTCTGCTGGGGGGTGGGTGTGAGGATCTTGCCACGGCAGCGGGCAAAGACTCACCAGCATCACTGTGCTTGGCATTGGGGGTAGACTGCCCAAAGCCTAGACTCCAAGGTCACCACCTATGCCAGCTCCTAAAAGCCCACTGTTACCTAAAGCTTTATAACGCGTGGACCAGCCCGAGGTTCTCAGTGACGCGTGGGATCCTTTCTATTAGGCCAGCAAGGCCCTTAATCTGGGGTACAGGCTCACAGACTTCTGAAAAGAGGTGGGGATGCTCTAGGATCACCCCTCCAGGACCCTCCTGCTCTTCTGGGGCTCTGGCTGGCATCCCACCGTCTGCCAAAGGGTGTGGGGGAGGGGTAATCACTTCATTATCTGTTGAAAAACAGAGGGGTTGGTCACGCCTCTTTCCCTTCCCCTAAGGCACAAAAAGGGACTCAAAAGTGGCTTTGTATTTTAATAAACTTTCCTTTATTAGGTTACTGACTATTATCAACCATCATAAAATAGAATGGGAGTTTTGGAAACTGTACAGGCCACAGGGCTCTGGGCTGAGGACAGAAGGGTGGGCTTGAGGGCTGGGGAGCTGGGGTGGGAGGTGCAAAGAGATGACCAAGAGCCCCGCACGCGTCCAGCGGCCGCGGGAGGCCCTGGGTCAAGGCGATAAGGCTGGATCTGTGTAAGTGAAACTCTCTCGTGTGCAACATTCATCAGAACAGGACCCACCCTGACACAGGAGTGAGGAAAATCTTCCAAAGTCTTACAGGTAAGGTTCCCCCGCCTGAAAAAAACAACAACCTCACAATAATAACGGGGTAATTTACATTCCTCACCCAGTCTTGGCACCAATTTTGTGCTTTAAAGAACATACTCCACTGGAAGACTTTTTTTTTTTTTTTTTAAAGGTACCCTACAGCAGCTGTTTAAAACATAATTCTTACGGACAAATATATATGCATATATATTAAACATTTTAAACAAATAAAGTCATCTATTGTACCTGTACAGAAATGAACTGAAGTCAGACTCTACGGGAGTTGACTTCAAGATAAAGAAATGGCAAACGTGGTGGCAGGGGCCGGGGTCTGCTACGTGGGGGGGCTGTGGCAGAGAGGGGACGTCCCTCTCCTGCTGGCGGCCCTGCCCCACCCCACCCCTCTGGCTCTGGGGGTTCGTGATGAACTAGGCACTAAGCAGAGACCTGCGTGGGCTTCCGTGAGGCTCGACTCCGCTCTGGTCTCCCCGATCCCACCCTGCTCTTGGCTTCTTAGGGCACAGAGGCCCACTCAGCCTCCCTTCTTGAGGATGCCAGAGCTTCTGAGGATGCACGTGGGCAATCTGAGCGAGGAAGGCAAAAGCAAAGCCAAACCCACGCCCAAAAGCCCAGGGAAGACTACGGAGATCAGACCACATGCGAAGACGTATGAGCCCAGGTGTAAGTAGCTACGTGGAGACTCGGGAGCTGCCACAGCTGTGGAGCTGGGACCCCTAAGACACTCATCCTGCACGTGAGGCTAATGCTCCCTGAGGGGTCTGCTCGGGAGTTGGAGCAGAGACCCCTGGAAACTGTAGGTCAAGGGACCCAAACAAAGACACCTGTGCCCATGTGGGGACATACCATAGACAGCCCAGCGAGGACAGGTGAGGCACATATGCCGGGAGCGGCAGGTGGAAGAAAAGCAGGAGAACACTCCAGAGGGTTGACCGAAACAAGGTCCCTTTCTAAATGGAATAAATAAATGGCTTTTGTTATTGTTAAAAGAATAAATACAAGGTCCGGGGCACCGGCAGCCGGGACCGATGCTGGGCGCTCCTGTGCCTGTGGGAGGTCCACTTCTGGCTGCTGCCTCCTGTCCCGGCGCGTTTCTGAAGTCCTGAGCTTGGTCCTACGACATGAGCCCTGTCTGAGCACCTCTTAGCACCCCTGGGATCTGCTCTCGGTGCCCGGGCCCCTCTGGCCGGCCGCCACCCCGGAACCCGACAGGTGGAGGCAACCCATGCCACCCCGAGAGCAGGTGGGAGCTCAGTGCCGGCTTCCTAGGAGTCCACCGCGTGTCTTTTTCCAAGAAGAGGCTGCGATGTGGCATGCAGGGACCTTCCGCCAGTGTAGGGGAGGGGGACAGAGGAGCCTGTGTCCCGAGCTGTCCGCGTCCGTGTCCGTGTCCGTGTCCGGAGGGGCGGCCGGGAGGAAGGGGAGGAGCAGGGCCTTCCTCCCACGGCTTGGACGCCCACCCAGGGCGGCTCGGTGAGTTGGCACCAGGTGGCTGTCGTGCTGGCGGTCCTGGGCGGAGCGTCACTGGTAGAGGAGGTAGGCCTTGAGGGAGGCGGGCAACGGCAGCCCGTGGATCTCTCCCAGGCGCTCCTTCCCCAGGGCCAGGCGCACGGAGCGGCGGCAGAGATCCATGAGAGGCAGGGGCTCGGCTGGGGAAACCGAGGGGGGGGGAGAGAGAGAGAGCGGATCAGGTTAGCACGGCTCTCGAGGGGTCTCCCACAAACACTAGCAACAGGAGACAGCATCACTGATATTAGTTTTAATACCCAATGGATAAGTCATTTCCACTTTAAATTAATTATTAATAGCAGCCAGCTCTCCCCGCACCAGACCCCACGCGAGCTTTCAGGAAGGGAATCATCTTGTGTTAACCCAGCTGCTCGCAGGTACTGTTTGCATCTTCATTTTGTAGCTGAGGGCACTCAGGCACAGAGGGGACCTAACGCGCCAGGGCCACAGGCTGGGCACCTGGATCTGAAAGAGGCCTCTAGCTGTAGCCTGCAAGGGGCACCTGCGTCCTTGTGTCCTCAAGGGCCCGGGCCCCGTCTTCCAGCAATTGAGGCTCTGGGCAGCCTGCATCTCGGATAAACTTTCAGCCTCAGAAAGATTCTGAAAGTCATTCCCTCCAAGGCCCGGAGGCCCTGCTCACCCTGCCCCCCAGAGCTGATTTTCCTTCGCCTCTTCCCTAAAGCGAGGTGCAGGTGGGAACACCCAGAGCTGCTTGGGGCCACCCCACAGTGTTCTGGACATAGGAAGAGCTGACATGAACGGATCTGTGGCTTTGCCCATGGTCACCCCTCAACTCTGAGACTCCTTTGTGAGCAAAACAAAAATCAGACCCCCAAGCCCAAGAAAACCCCCAGCATTTCCTTTGACAGCCTATTCCACCAACAAAAAGTGGATTAAAGTCTAATATTCACCACTGTGTAAATATTAAAAGTAACATTAAAAACTCAATTATTTAAGACCTAATCCTACGGGTGGGGTGTCGGGGGAAATGGGGAGTGGCTGCTAATGGCTATGGGTTTCTTTTGGGGTGACGGACATGTGTTCTAAAACTGATGGTAGCAATGGCTGCACAACTGTGAATATACTAGAGGCCACTGAGTCGTACACTTTAAAAGGGTGAATGTATGGCATGTGAATTACATCTCAACAGACCTGTTATTTAAAAAAAAAGAATAAATCTTAGGATTGATAATGCATTTACTAAATTCCAGGCTTTAAAACAAGACGAACAACTGCTTTTCATCTCCCATGGGTCTTCACAGGAGAAGGAATTAAAGTAGCAAATGCCTTTCAGGGAGAGCTTTGAACTGGGGCCCTTCCTGGAAGCAGGATGAATGAAATGACCTGTATCCTTTCAGATCAAGGGTTCCACAGACTCTGGGCAAGGAGAGCCGGTTTCTCCCCCTGCCTGCTCTCAGAGCCTTGGGTCTCCCTCATCAGAAAGCACCCTTGCCTGGAAGACCCCAGATCACTCCTCTGCCTGGGCCTCAGTTTCCCCATCTGTTAAGTCGGGGAATTGACCAGATTGGTCCCAAAGTCCCATCCAGCTGAGATCCTGAAGGCCAGAAATAGAGCTCTCAGCCTGGACCTGCTCTTGAGGAACGGCCCTTCCGCTGAACCGAGTGGGGGAATTTGGAGGTGCTTCCTCTGCTCCACTCAGAGCCTCTCTTCCATCTTCCCCCAGCCCCCAGTGGCAGGCAGAGGGGCTTCCCCTGGTGGCTGAAGGCACTTGAGAAGCATCAAAAGCCACTGAATGTGGCCCGAGAGCCCTGCCGGGCTGTGGAGTGAGGCCTGAGGAGGAGTCCCCCCCATGCTCTCTTGGCTTAATGGGTTTCAGGTCACCTCGCGCACACCCTTATGAAGGGACACTCCTAAACAGCTGAGGCCTGCACCGCCCAGCGTCCAGCTGCCTTATTCCGGGTGGTTATCATCACAGCCCCAGTGGCAGCTGTGGCTTGTGGAGCACCTATTGTGTGCCAGGTGGGGACTGTGGTGGGCTTGAGGAAGTGAGAGTTAGGCCCCCAGGTCTGAGAGCCAAGGGCTAGAAGATGGATATACCCCAGTCCATGAAATTCTAGAGTGCGGCTCTTTCTATGCCAACCTGAAGAGGAAGCTCCTGGCAGTTCTTTGCAGTTTACCCAAAGGGGCAAGGACCCATAGCTACCCCTTCCGCCCCCCTGAAAGCAGCTGTGTGGCATAGGGGGCGCTTCCTCTGGCTGGCCACCTTTGGACCACACTGAATAGCCCAGGTAGGGAGGGCTCGTGCAGCCAGAAGGGACGTGTCCTTCAGACATGCCACATATTCCCCAGTGGGCTACAGGAGTTGCAGCTGATGGCTGCAGTGATGCATTATGAGCTGTAAGTATGACCCATCAGCCAGGCATCCCATGTATGGGTCTATTCTCGGGGGGGCCTCAAGTACACAAAGAGGTCATCCTCCCCAGCCGATGTAGGAGCCAAACGATGATGCACAGGCCATGGTCTAGTTGCTTTTCAAAGGCCAGGCAGACAGAACGCTCCAGCCACAGAAACAGATGTGGGCACTGTGCCACGGAGAATGTCTGTCCCATGAGTTTTGGTTGGTTGCTAACAGGACCCAAGAAGCCCCCCCCCCTCAATATTTCTGACTGGGGGCTGTAGGCTCTGTATCCAGCTCCATCCACAAAGCTGGTACCCACTGAAATTCCACAGAAAGTTCCCAAACAGAAGGCAGGGTTTATCCGATGACTCCTGGCCACTCTGCCATCTCCGGGAAGCAGAGGCGGCTCACTCATTTACATAGTTTATATGAATGAGGGGGGGAGGTGACAGGCCGCAGCACATAAATCAGGAAGTGAATCAGGCACTATTTATGGGAGCAGAAGGTGGAGGAACTGGGGAGTCCATGCACCAGGGTCCGCGTTTCTAAGAGAAACGGTGACCTGGTGGCTATTGGAACATGCATGGTACTGGCAACACAGCCCGTGGCTCTCAAAGTCCCCCAGAGCCCGATGCTATGTCTAGGTCACTAAATGAATGAGCTTTGGGTGGGTGGGGTCAAAGACCAATGTCTCATGCCAGGAAGTGCCCTGGATTCAGCGATGTCCCCACCCTCACCTTTTCCACTCCTGTCACTGGCCTGGGCTTACCCCTGCAAGCAGCCAGTGAAAATGCTCAAAATTAATTCTAGGATGTTGTGGTGGGACCGCCATCCCACCACGAAATGCACACGCTATGACCTGTGAACATTTCCCTTTGCATCAAGCAATTCTTATAAAAAAGCAGCAAAACCAAAAGCTAACCCCTTGTCTTTGCCAACTGGGGAAAGACGCCTGACAACTAACTGGCTGGGGAATGTGGGCACCCTTGGTCCTTTGCCCCTCGACTTGAGAGCCCATTGCCCCCGTATGACCAGATTTTTGGGGAAGGCAGGGCATCTAGAACAAACCCTTCCCCCAACATGGCCCTTTCCCCAGAAAGAAGCCCCTGCAGTAGAGAGGCTGGTCCCTAGACCAGACTGGAATGGAGGTGCAGGAAGGGGCCACCTTGGGGTGAGGCACCCCAGAAAGACACCAGGAGGAGGTCACCAAGCTGAAAGGCTGCTGAGGAAACGAGCTGAGCCTTGGCTGAACCCATAATCACAACAAACGGCACCAAACTTATCAGGGGGACGTAACAGGGAGAACTTGAAAATGTCTAACTCAGGGAAAACACTTCCTCAGCAGAGACGCCTGTTCCCAGTGGGGGCAGAGGGGACTCACGGGTCAGGGACTCTCCCTTGGGTGACAGGGGTCTGCTGCTGGCAAATAGGCCTTTTCCTTCTGCATTTCCAGGGAGGGTGGCAGGTAGTCCTGGGGCCCACAGTGGGCCACCTCCCCACAGTGGCCACCCCTACCCCTTCTCCCCAGGAAACAGCAAGATGCACAGCAACCCCTCTGTTTACAGCCTCAGCCCCGGAAGTCTCAAGGCCCAAGGAGGAGTCAGGACAAGTGGCCTGTGGTCAGAGCTGCCTGGATGGTGGGGGAGGTCACACAGGGACACACTGATAACTTGCTGTGTTATCGGACAGGGACTCTATTGGGGAGGCTCCGCCTGCTGTGCAGGGGAAGGTGGGCTTGAACAAAATGCCCACTGCAGCGCCCAGGGAGGGTGCACACGCAGGTGACCTGGCTGACCTGCTCTGCAAGCAGCTGTTCCCTGCTGAAGTGAGGCCCTGGCGGCTGGGGTGGGGGGGCAGGGGTGGGGAAGGAGGGCTCAGACAGTTCCCAGGTGTCCCAGGGAGCAGTGATGGGTGAGAACCACCTCCAACGCTTAGAGAGCAAAGCCCAGTCCAGTCCTGACACCAAGAAAACCTGGCCAGAGCTTCCACCTGTCACACCTTTCTCCCTGGGTGGACCCCAGACCCAGTCTGGCTGTGACATTCCTCCTTCCTCAGCTGCCTTGGAAGGTAAAGCAAATCCTTCTGGGCAGAGGACTTAGGCACCCTTTGACCTCATCTGACGGACACCCCACTATCTGAGTGCTGGGCTGTTTCATCTCCCCCGAGGCAGTGGCATGAGGAGGGCAAGGTCCTGTGGGAATGGTCTATATATGCTGTCTCCACATCTGTAGAGGGTGGACTAGTGTCCTCCCCCCACATTCAGGACCATCCCGAACCTCCAAATGTGACCACATTGGAAATAGGATCTTTGCAGGTATAATTAGTTAAGATGAGGTCATACTGGAGTAGGGCGGCCCTGAATCCATTGGCTGGTGTCCTTATTAGAAGAGAAGAAGCACAGAGGAGAAGGCCACGTGACTAAGGAGGCCGAGAATGGGTGATGCATCTACAAGCCAAGGAGTGCTGGCCACCAGCAGAAGCAGGAGGAGGCATGGGATAGAGTCTCCTCGGAGCTCTCAGAAGGAACTGACTGCCCACACCTTGATTTCAGACTTCTGGCCTCCAAAACCGTGAGAGAAAACATTTCTGTTGTTTTAAGCCACCCAGCTGGTGGTCATTTGTTCCAGCTGCCCCAGGAAATAAACACCACCCATCCTGCTCCTCTCTAAACCAGCTGATGTCAGGCTTTTGACCCCACCCCACCCAGATGTATCTCATCAAGGTCTCCAGTGATCACCTTGTGGCCAAAGTTGACGGACAGTTCTCAGCTGTCAACATACTTAACCTGGCGTCAGACTGCAAGACCTGAGTGTCTGCCCTGACACCTGTGGGGCCTCACCCAGCATCTGGCCTGTGGTGGGGTTAGATCTCTGGGTGCCAGGCCCTAAGACAAAGCTTTCTGGCCCACCCCCTTTGCAAGGTGATATTTTCAGACGGTAGAAGGGACCCAGGAAAGAGTGGGGGCCAAGCAGGGGGTGGATAGTCCCAGAGTTCCAGGACCTCCTGTCACCCTGGGCTCCCAGCCAAGCAGCCACAAAGCCCTCCACCTCCCAAACTAGGACAGCACCATCACACGAGAGTTATTTTCACAGTGGTCTGAGAAAGGCTACTCCTTTTCCCAAAGGGACAGGTGGAGGCTTCTGCTAACTCAGGCTGTTTCTAACCCATGTTCTCTCCAAAGGCCCTTTGACATCATGACTAAAACAAGGACCTCTCAGGGAACTGTGTCCCAAAGGAGCCTACTCAGAAGCCTCCAGTAGTACCAGGACAGAAAGACCCTACATCTGTCTAATGAACGAGAGAGGCCACTGGCTTACAATTATGTGAAAGGACTTAGTACTGTCAAAGCTGTAAACCTCAGCTCAATAATACACTGGCTACTGTGTTAGAATTTGGTCAACTGCAGACCAAACCTAAAGGCAGGTCAACCAGAAACAAACTACATCTATCAAAGACCATCCGTCCATATATTTATTCATTTATTCACCATCCATCCATCCATCCATCCACCCACCCATCCATTAATTCATCTGCTCATTCATTCATCCACCCACCCATCCATCCATCCACCCACCCACCCATCCATTAATTCATCTGCTCATTCATTCATCCACCCACTCACCCACCCATCTACTCATCCATCCATCCACCAAACCTTCCACCCATCTACCTACCCANCCATCCATCCATCCATCCATCCATCCATCCATCCATCCATCCATCCATCCATCCATCCATCCATCCACCAAACCTTCCACCCATCTACCTACCCAACCACCCGTCCATTCATCCATGAGGTGCTGCCAGGTTATTGGACAGACCCCAGCTAGAATTTTTCATTAAACCAGAGGCCAGCGAGAGTCGCCTCTGAGGACCTGAATATGCTGGGGCGTCTACTCAAAGACATTTTAATTCCAATGACTGCACAAACTTCTGGCCAGGCCCACCCAGGACCCCAGGGACACAGGGAGTCCAGGGACAGTGCCACCTTGGACAGTGTAGAAGACACTTACGGTCGAGTCCATTCAAGTAGCGCATGCGGATCTCACAGTGGCCCCAGACGGCACTCACGACAGGATACAGTTTTTTGCCCTTGAGTCCCCGAAAAGCCACTCCCATGTACTGTCCGTCCACAATGAAGCTCAGGGTCCCGTCGTCCATGTCCAGGGCCACCAGGAAAGAGTCGGGGACAATGAACGTCTCGTCCGGCTCCAGAAAGGCCGGGTATGTTTTGCTGGGCTGGTTTTTGCCGTCGTGGTAGAGCCGGTTGCGTCCCAAGTCCCAGCCCCAGGACTCGTGGTTGTTCCCCACGAGGGTCGTGTACCCGACGGAGTGCAGGGGGGCGTCGGCTGTCGCCACGCCCACCACCGCGTGTGTGCCCCGCTGCCTCATGGCCCACGTGATCTGCCACACGTGCAGCCCCCGCGTGTACCCAACTTTGCCCCTGATGGCGTCTGTGCTCTGGGCCACCGGATGCCGGTGAAAGATGAGCTTGTCGTCTTCTTTCACGAAGACGTTGAGTGAGCGGTCATTGTTGTTCCACGAGTGCAGGAGCTGGACATCGTAGGACACGGGGGGCATGTCCAGCAGCAGGTCCAGCCGGGTGGGCTTGCAGTAGTCCAGGCCCTGGAGCTCCTGCTTCAAGGGCCGGTACGTGGGGTCCCTCATATCCACAGTCTTGATCCCTCCAGTGACCTTCTGACCCATGTTCGCCTCCTGTTTCACCTTGTCACCGACTCCCAAGGCAAACTCATCAATCGCAGGGCCTCCTCTCCTGAAGGCTACTAGGCACCCTCTGCCAGTTGTGGAACAGTCAGTGCTGCCTAATGGATGGAAAGAAAAATAGGCCAGGTAAGCAGGGGTGTGGGGACAAGGGGAGGGTCAATTAGGAACACAAGGTCCATAGAACAGGCTGACCACAGACATGTCCCAGCAGCCTAGCTTCTGCGCTCCCATCACACCCAATATAGGGCAGGCCGCGCCTTGGCACAGAGGGAAACCCTGCCCTGTCCCCACAGCTATGCTGTCGTAAGGGAGAGAGGCCACCTGCCGCGCAGTAGCATGGAGAGAGCCCAGTTTGGGGGCTGGCATTACACCCCATTGTGTCAGGTGCACCATGTACCTAATTATGATTTCTCAGGGCGGGAGGCCAAGTTGGCACAGATCCTGGAATCAGCCCATGTGGTGGGCATCTTCCCTGGTCCAAGCAAGGGGGAGCTTCCTTCCCATGCCTGCTGCTTCAGGAGAAGGTGGAAGCCCTGAGAGGCAGCAGAAGCTCTTTGGGATGCCACCTTCCAGCTCCTCCTCTCTTTTCCAGCACAGCCACCTCCGACAGGGCCCCTCCGGCTCATGCCAGGGGAGGGAGCCCTGGGTAGGCAGCAAGCTGAACTCAGGGTCAGCGAGTGCACTCGGCTGGAAGGCCCCAGGGGCTCCTGACTTGGCGGGCGAGGCTGCAGCAACCTTCCCAGCAGGTCCTGCGTCCTGCATCGTGCCTGGACTGGGGTGCCAATGCTGCTCTTCTCAAGGCCCTGAGCCAGCCCCCAGTCCGGTGGGCATGGCGATTCTCACCCCTCACCCCCAGGCAGCTCTGGACCAACACTTGGATGACTCCCGCTTTTTCCTTCCACCAGAAGCCAATGTTGGCTCCTCCGGTTCCAGCAGCCCATCTGGGGAAAAAGTCCAACTCCAGACACCTCATTCCTGCTCTGGCTTCACTGTCTGTTGGCTCCTTTAAGGGAGGACTGGGCCATGGGGTAGGAGAGACCTCATTGCCTCTGTGCTGTCCCTTCCCGTCCATCGGGAGGGTTACACCAGGAGGTGGGGGGCTAAAATGCGGGGCTGACAGGACTCTGACCAGTCCTGCCATTCCCGTTCCCAGCGCCCAGCTTGGATGAGGGAAAATAACAGGCCGCTTTGGCTGCCGAGCCTCCCTCCTGGGCCTGCGAGGGGACTCCTGGTGTGGGGGACAGGCTCCCAGGACTGACCAGACCAGGGAGAAGGTAGGCTCCTGGCTCTATAAATGTAACTGCACATGTATGCGGATGGGCCTGGGACAGAGGCCATGGGTGCCTGGCTGCTGGGAAAAGTGTCACGCGGGTCAGTCGTTCTAAGCAGCACTGAGGTGCCCGAGAGGAAGAGACTATAAAGAGCCTGGGGTGGGGGCTGCAGGGCTCCCCTCTGCAGTTGGCACATTGCTTTTCCACCGTGGAAGCAAGGACAGAGCGCCTGCTGGATATAAGGGCAGGGGCCAGCCTCAAGGAGATCTGGGAACTGGGGACCAGTGTCCTCCCTGTGGCGTGCTTGGGACCAGCGGGACCAGAAGGGAAGGAAGGATGTGCGGAGGGGCTGGCTGTCCCCTCCGGTCTTCCAGCTGGCCCGGAGCTGGCCCTCTCCTGGGAAGAGACCCCTGGGATGATATCTTCAGGACAAGCAGGCCTCCTGGAGGCAGGCTCTGAATGTCGCAATGTGGGAACGCGCCCCCTTATCTCAGCAGGCGGGCTGTGCTTCTCACCCTCCCCTTTCTGATGCGATCAGAGGGCTCCCTGGCTCCCTGAGGCACAGTCATTTCTCTCAAGACAGGCTGGGGGACCCCTTTTGTCAAATGTCTGCAAAGCCAGTACAGAGCTGAGGTGTCCCTCTGTGGCTGGGGGTCCACCCTGGTTCCAGAAAGTTCCTCACATCCTGGATCTCCCAGGACAATCCCAGTTTCAAGCTTTTAGTCCCACTGACCCCTGAGAGCCACCGATACCTCTAGAACTCCCCCTATGGCCCTGCTGGGTGGCACCCCATGACTTCGGGGCCAGCTTGCCAGGCCCTGAGAGGGTGGGAGAGCCTGAGTCTGGGTGTGGGAACGTGGTCCCGGTGACTGCAGAGACTGGCCTGCAGATGCCTCCCAACCTCCACCCCAGCATCCTCCCGAGCTGGGGAAGGCGGGTCCACGGCAGTTCTCGGTCGGAAGCACCCACACCCATCTCTGTCTGGACACCCCCCTCTCGCAGGTGCCCAGTACCGTCTCTGTACAGGACCTGGTAGGGACACAGGTTGGCTCTCTGGGAGGACAAGCAGAAAATGAACTTCCTAGGACAGTTCATTCTACTGTTTCTTGGAACAGAGCAGCCCTTTTCTTGCCTCTGTAGTCACAGCATCCAGACCCATGGGAAGAGGTGGGAAAGGGGCAGGGGCGGAGACGCTGGGTGGGTGGGACCGTGGGAGAGGAAGGTGGTGGGGAGAAATCCTTCCAACGTATTTACAATGCTGGGAGAGAAATTGGTGGGAATGGAGACGGACCATAACAGGGAGGGTGAGAGGTGGGAAAGGGGAAGAGACGAGTCAGGGGTGAGAAAGAGAGAGACGGAGGGAGGAAATGAGGGAGCTCTCAGGCCAGGAAACCTGGGCCTGTTCACACCTTTGACTCCCACCTGAGCTACAGCAGGGATCAGCTCTTTCTGTGAAGTGCTAGATAGTAAATGTTTTGGGCTTTGGGGACCAGCCTCCATGTAACTACTCACTCTGCCTTGCAGCGTGAAGCAGCCACAGGCAGTGCATGAATAAGTGAGCATGGCTGAGTTCTAATAAAACTCTATCTACAAGAACAGGCAGGGTGTGGTCGTCCGACCCCCGAGCACGTTATCTCCACGGCCAAGGCTGCAGCAGGAAAGCATGAGACGGAGGTGAGAGGGGATCCTCTGGCAGCAAGGAGAGGCCAGAAGAGACAGCGTAACCTCGTAGGGGCGGGGCATCTGTCCGTCCAGGTCAGCTCCACACCTCTTCCTGTTCTCAGATCCCACCTCCTTTGAGGCCAGCTGCCAAGTGAGTCCATTTCACTGCCCTTGTCTAAGCTCCTGCCCTCCTGGGCCCCGTGCTAGGAACCATCCGGTAGGGAGGACCCCTTCCCGCCCCTGGACCACATGACCTTGAGCGGAAGGAATCTCTGGAGAAAGAGGTTGGAGGGTAGATAAAGGTACTCACACAATCAGGGGTTGACTCCCACACAAGGGCACCCCAGGCATAGCCAGGGGATATAGGCCACCCACTCTGTTGCTTCTGGGCCGCCCTGCCATCTGAGTCACCTCCCAGGTGGTCAATCGCTGTGGCAACCCTAGGGCCACTCTTGACTCACTTGTCACCTGCCAGTCTCCGCCCCGTGTTCAGGCCATGGCTAAAGCCAATGCCTCCTTCTGTGGCCTTCCCGTTGTCCACACCTAGCCACGTCTTTGCAAGGCCACCGAAGCCATCCAGCCACCCGCCTCTTTCCACCTATTTTTAAATGTGACCTGCCCTTCTGCATGTCCCCCAGGAGCTCCACTGGCCCCCTTCTTGGGGACTGCTGCCTGGCAGGATGCTTCCATCCCCCCAGGCTCCTCTCTACTCTGCCTTCCTCCTCCAGCCCTGCTCCTGGGGCTTCCAGTCCAGGGGGAAACTCACCCACCAAGACAGTGGCTTGGCCCACTGGCTAGGATTCACCCTTAGCTCTTCCGAGCTCCTGTTTGCTTCTCTGTGAGATGGGTGTCCCACGCTTACCCAAGTGCAAACAGTGTTCCAGAAAGGACCTGGGACAACAGGCAATTTCACTTTTTTTTTTTTTCTAAACCCTGTTCCAAACACTGAACAAAGATCACTGTTATCCATCTCCTGGGTCGCTGCACCTGCTCCTGCAGATGGACGCTGTCTTTGGGCCAAGACCCAAGTACTTAAAACGTTGAGCTAGAACAGATAAAGTTTAAGGTCCCTTCTAAGCCAGGGGTTGGCAAACTTGTTCTGAAAGGAGCCAGACAGAGCCGAGTGACAGAGATACTGGTTTGGTCTGTAAAGCTCTTGTGAACACTGACCCAAGATGGGCGTCCCCAGTGGGCACCAAACTTCAGGTAGGAAATGAGAGAAACAGGACAGGCCCCGGCTCTGGACCAGCCTCCTTCCCTGCCATTCTGAGAGACAAATGTAGATGCCCAGGCCTTGCAGGGCGCCTCAAGCTGCCACAGGAGTGTCAGGGCCTGGGATGGCTCAGCGAGTCCTTGATGAGTCTCTACCAGGCAGGAGGACCCAGCCCTTGTCCCCACCCAGAAGAAGCAAAGCCACAGAGGGTGTTTCCAAATAATGCCCTGCAGGGCTGGGTCAGGATGGGTGGGGGACAGAGCTGGCCCTGCTGCTGCTATCACTACCCACTCATCAGTCATGGGCCATGCACAGGAGCACGAGAGCGCACACACACACACACACACACACGCACACGCACACGCACCCCCTCAGGCACCAGCAGCTGCGGCATCCCGGCTGATCAGCAGGACGTTCCCAGAAAGCACACTGCACATTAGCCACCGTGTCCTCAAGACGCGTCGGCCACTCCTCCTCCCGGCTGTCGCAAGCCAACCCTCAGGGCAAACGTATTCCTGGTTTGTAGCCCTCCTGCCCCACCAACCTGTGCTCGCCCACATAACATACTGTTCCCACTGTCCTCAGTCCCTGGGGCGGCAGGGCAGGTTGTCCAATGTCAGGCCTGGGGAAGGGTACAAGAGACAAGGCCATTCACATGCTCGGAGGGCGGGGGGTTACCCCGTCAACATGCTCAAGTGCAGCCAGGAGGAGGAACGAGTGTGTACATATGAATAAATATGCAACCCCCATGCGTGAGCTTCACATGTTCCAAAGAGCTCTGCCTGCGGGACTGTTCTTCTATGGGTAACACGGAGATGCCTGTTGGGGCGGGAGCTCCTGGCATACTTTTCTATAGGTAAATCAAATTAAAGACCAAAAAGGGTCAAAGGAATAAAAGCAGCCATAAAAGGGCAAGGGGGAAGCGCACAACCATCGGAAAGCGTGTGAGTCAACATACAACTGCGTCTTAGCTGGGGTCTGACTCCTAGACCCTGTGTGTGCGTGGGGAAAGCTACCC